CTGTACACAGCGAACTCCATCGAAGTGAATTCGCCACTGCGATCAGTCCGCGGCACGCGCAGCTTCTTGCCGCTCTACGCCTCCACTCACGCCTTGAACTTCTTGATCGCCTCCACCGCCTCGAGAGCGTCCGCCGCGTGATACCTGGCCGCCTTTGGGAACGGTAGCCTCCTCTGCTTCCCGGCCAGGCAGCTGTCACACAGCTCGCCTACGTGCTTGATGTGGGGCAGCCCTCGGACCATCTTCTCCAACCGATCGAGCACGTTGAAGTTGAGATGGCCGAATTGGGCAAGCCACAGCCATGGCTGCTCGGTGCGCCATGCAGCTAGGCACACCGGCCGCTCCACCTTCAAGTCGAGCAGGTACAATCGATTACGTGAGCGTTTTAGTTTCGTGAGAAGACACCGCTCCCGATCCTGAATCTTCAGGATCCCGCTCTCGATCAGTACCTCGCATCCGCGCTCGTCCAGCGGCCTGATGCTTGAACGCAGCTGCGGGATGTAGTACACATCTATCAACGCGTGGTGCTCACCATTCTAGAACCTAAAGATGATGGTGCCGCACCCTTGGATCGCCATCCTTGAGCCGTCACCGAACTTCACCGTGCCAGTCACGATGCCGTCGAGCTCGGAGAAGGCTTCCTTGGAGCCCGTCATGTAGTTGCTAGCGCCGAAGTACAGGTACCACCGCTGCTCCTGCTCGCTGCCCACATGTCCGAGGTGGACTTGGGCACGCTGTTCATCGAGGTTGACAGCCTTCTGAGCCTTGCCGTGCCCTTCCACCGCCATCACCCATCCCTTCTCCTTGGCCTCAACATTGTGCAGTGCACAGAACGTCGCCATCAGGAGAGTGGCCTCATCATCCTCATCAGCCTATGCTAAATGAGCCTCAGCCTTGTTCTCCTGCTTGTGATTTGGGCACTTCTTTGCCCAATAGCCTGTCTTCCCGCTGCGCTGATAGGCGTTGGGGTTGACCTTCTTCTTCTTCTCCGAAGAAGCCTTGCCGCAGTGCTTGCCATCGCCACCACGGCTAGAGGAGGCTTCCCTGGACTTCTTTCGGGTAGCCCACTCCTCTTCTATCAGCAGTAGCTTGCCATTGTCCGTTGGTACTGTGGCCTACTCCATGCACTCGTCCACCACCCGCAGATGGCCTATCACATCCTCAATGGTGAGGGTGGACATGTCCAGCATCGTCTCTATGGAGAGAGCGATCTGGATGTACTTCACCGGTACGGAGTGGAGGTACTTGGAGACTGCCTCTTCTTCATCGATGGTGACGCCGTGGCTCCTCAGCTTGCTGATGAGCGACTACAGGCGGAGGGAGAAGTCCGCCACCGACTCACCATCCTTGAACTTGAGGGTGGCATACTCCTGCTTCAGCAGCTGGGCTATCGCCTTCTTTGCACAGTCGGAGCCGACGCGCGTCGCTGCAATGGCCTCCCACGCCTCCTTAGCAGAGTTCTTCGCCCGCAATATCCTAGCCACCTCTTGGTCGCCAGTCATGTCGCACGGGCAACCGAGTAAAATGGCATATCGTGAAGTGTGTGTAGCGTGGCAGAGAAGTTGTATGCATGTTTCTCGTTCCAAATATTAGCAATGAAAAAGTCGAAAAAGGATGCAACACTTTTGCAGCACATATCGTGTTCATCTTCCAACTTTCGCTTGTGTGTGTGTATTCATGGTGATCGCGCTCAGCGTTTCGGAGTTCGTCCATGCCGATTAGGAGCTTGGTGGTGTCATCACCGGCTCTAACAACGTGTATCAGAGCTAGTGTGTCGGCGTCCTGGTCGTTGGCGATCTCTAATTGATGGTATCTTGTTCAATCAAACTGCAAGGGCACCATACACCGAAGAGACAATGTGTTGGAGGCCAGAAGATGACCAGTGGTGATGGCTGCTCTGGAAAACGTCATGTGATCAAGGAGAGTTCTCTAGTATGGCCAATGCTGACCTGTACCAACTACACCGAGCGCGTGACGCTCATGAAGATCAACTATGAGGCCATGGAGGTATGGGAGCCAATCGATCCGTGGACCTCAGTGCAGCACAAGATGAACCGGCAGGGAATGGGCGCCTCAATGCAGTCAGTCCCAAATGTGGTGGCGATGACGCTAGGGTCCTTGCGCTCAATGAAACGATCGTTCATGCTTCAAGATTTGTGGTCTCAGCTCAGTGGTCTTGGAAGTGCGTCATCGGGAACATAAGGTACATTCTGATGTGCATTACTTTCCAAAGTTTAAGAGCAACATTGTTAGCCTAGGGCAGATCGAGGAGGGGGGGGATTTAAGGTGTTGTAGGAGAATGGCCATTTGAAGGTGTTTGGCCGTGACGACACTTTGTTGATCATTGCAACATGTACTAGGAATCGCCTGCAGACAATAAATCTTAGTGTGGTGTCACCCATTTGTTTGCTAACACAGATGGAAGATGAGGAATGGCCATGACATGCCAGATTTGGGCATCTGAACTGTCATGGTCTTCGTGATCTTTGCAGAAAGTGTTGGAATGTGATCTTGGCTAATCCCAAGATTCATCACGAATTTAATTACAGTCTATTTTTGGTCCACCTGTCAGATATATTTCCAACTAATTAGATCTGCCTTGATGGGTGGCAACCCTTAGATCTCTAGGGTTCGGCCCCTTGACCCACAACGCATCTATCAATAAGAGGCGGCGCCCCTGTCATAACCACCCACGTGAATCTAATCACACAACCGTTCAAATAGGCGCTGGAGGGTTTAGGCCTTCCTATCCAGGCCATTGCCAGCGGTGTCCAGAGAAGGCCCCTGCTTCTAGGCATCTCACATTCTGGCAGAGGACGTCCAAGTCCTTAGGCGGTAAACACATCACACCTTCTACACCTATAAACAGTGCATCGACACCAGAGGCTATGGCTGCGCCCAACTACGGTCTAACATCTACTCAGTCTGCATTATGTTTATGTTGTGGTCACATGTTAGTCTAAGTTTAAGATCCTATTTAATCTAAGTTTTTAATTCAACAGAAAGACATGGTGGATCGCATGCTAATTCTTGATTGAGTTGAACAAGTGTTTGATGGGTGTACCCTTGGGAAACAACATTGCAGCCCATTCCCACACGACTTCTCATTCAAATTAGAAAAGGGACTAGAACTATTTCATGTAGATCTGTGTGGACAGATCAAACCACCTACTGCTAGTGACAAGTCCTATTTTCTATTAGTTGTTGATGATTTCAGCATATACATGTGTGTTGAAATGCTGAGAACAAAAGATGAGACATTGACATGTATGAAAAATCTCAAGGTGAGAGTAGAAGTTGATCATGGGGGAAAGCTGAAGGCCCTGAGAACAGATCGAGGATGTGAGTTCAACTCCAACTTGTCACTGTACCTGCAATGAGTCTGCGATCAAGCACTACACAATCACTCCTTATTCCCCACAACAAAATGGAGTGTTTGAGCATGGAATCCAAACTATGGTGGAGACGGGCAGGTGCATGCAGAAAAGCAAGAACACGCCATTGATGTATTAGGGAGAAGCAGTAGCGACAACAATTTATACACTGAATCATGCTCCGATGAAGAGTTTGTAGAACAAGACCCATTTCGAGGCTTGGCATGGCAAGAAACCTCGAGTTGATCACCTTAGAAATTTTGGTTGCATTGCACATGTGAAGATTCTAGGTCTAGGCATAACCAAACTCTCTGATAGATCCACAAAGATTGTACAACTGGGCTATGATGCAGGAAAAGATGTTGCTGGAGGTATTGTCCAGGATGTCATCATAGACCGAAGTCGGCACGTGGTTGGTTACACCGACAAACTTGCTTCAAGGGGAGGGAGGGAGGATGCACAATGCGAGCTCCAACTCAAAGGTGTTGGCTATGTTCCGGAGGCCATATGGGAGCTCATCCTTAGGGTCCCAAAACTCACTCTCTGAGGGCGTGAGGAGCCCGCTGGAGAGCTGGGAGAAATTGTTGGACCAGTGCGTAATAGATGAGCCTGCTGTCCTTGGGGGACGAGTTCGGCCCGAGGTAAGTGCGGATGCAATGCGTGAGGGCACTGGCATCGACTGGTGCCTCGCCCCTGGTCCGGACACCGGGACGACTCACACGACTGTGACAAGGGCCGCTTGACGAGCTGCAAGTTGCTAAATGCGTCAGCGATGAAGTCCATACGACCGAACCGAACGGCCTAGGTGGGTGCAAGCCCGGGGATGAGCTAGAGCACCCTAGGGTTTCGGCAACAAAATCAAGGCTCCCGAAGTGGATACTCGCACCGAGGGGTGTCCACTGGAGCTGGAGACGAAGGATGGCATCCTGGGCGCTAATGGCCAAGATGCACGACTCTCTCCTACCTTGCACGTCAACTACCGCAATTGTCAATGCCGATGTTTTTTTGCAGTAGGGGTTACGAATGAGGTGGATAAGAGTGTTAGTTCTAAGGAACGCTCGATAAGTTCTATGTCCAAAGTCCCCAAGAGACAGAGAGGGACCAGATCTCCGACTATATAATAAGATAAGAATATTAAAAGGACATACATTCTCGAGTGGAGGGATTTATATATACCAACACCGTCCTGTGTGCTATGTACACAGTCCCCAACAGAGGGCGCGCGACAGTGGACTTCTGCGTAATGCTTGGAGAATCTAACCCAATATATTTATTATTAGTTAGAGATGGAAGAGAAACATTAATTAAGTGAACGGGAAAGTCTCCAAACGAGACGTTGTAATAACAATCTGGGTAATATAATACTAATACATATATCATCATCCTGTGTCCTGGGTGTGCACACAGGCGTGTTTATTCTACGTGGGAATTTAAAACATGTCAGTATCCAAGCAGAAGATATTTTGAAACAAACACTAGGAAACAGGACACGATTTGAATGGAACTCCAGGCCGATATATCGAAACATGTGGATGGAGGATCGAGCTTTGTTCATTGTTCTTAGCAGATACAAGTTATTCTGGACTCCGTAGGAACTCCGATCCGGAAACTTGCATTGAGACTGGATCAGGGATTGGACAAGAAGCCTTCCATCTTCCATAGGACGTTATCCGCAGAATGGTGAGCAGGATAGGCCCCTACAACCGTGCCCTCGTGTACGTTCCCATGTAGTCCGTCCAGGACCAAATGTTCATCTTTGTAGCAGGACCGTATCTTGCAAAAGCCATCGCAGAAGAGCGGGGTGTCCTGCGTCCACAGCGCATATGCAGGCACGTTCCAGGGGCCGTATTTCCCTAGCTTCATCTGGTTACATTACATACTTTTTTTAGCTAATGGATCGAAATTGTTCCGGCTTCAACCTCATCAAAGACAAGGCATCAATCCAAAATACATATAAGGCATTGTGTGAATGTAGTCAGATTCGCATCAATCCACGTGTTGTGATGGATTGGAGTGGAACTTAAACTAAATTACACCCTAATCCATCATAAAACATATGGATTGAGGTAAATCCGATAACATGCAAATAAGACCTAATAATAACAAGGAAGAGCCGAATGAGCTATATATATGTACCGCCGGGTAAGTACCGTCTTCTTCAAGGATCATCAGTGCCCGCATCTCATACCACTTTTCATTGGCGAGGTTCACCAGCGAGAACCGATTCTCACCAGGGTAGGGGAAGTGCTGAACCCACAGCTGCACGTATATATACAACATGGATGCAACGAGTGTTCACACTGTATGTATAATCAAAGGGAAACGAACAGCAAGACATGCATATAGATCGATCATATCAATGGGTGTGGATGCAGCTTCAATTCACGTGAGCCACCTTGCGTACCTGTCGGAGGTCCCGGCAGTTGGTTTTGGCAAGAACAACGTTGCCGTTGTCATCAGCGGCTATGCTCAGGCTAGTGTTACCCCTGCTGATTATCCTCATCGGCGGCAACTTGGCAAGGAACTCGAATACATGAAAAGGACGGTTAAGGGGAAGGTAACCACCAGGAAACTGCAAACACCCGGTAACCGGATCTGTTGGAATCGGCTCCCCCAGGATCTGCCCATTTCCAGAACAAATCCCGGTGGCAAGCACTAGGACGGCTGACAGAGCAAAGCAAGCAGTGGGTCTCGCCATCGTCGTCGTTTTGTGGTATCCGGGCTAACCAGTTCCCTTTTTATACAGGTTCAAGATGGCTCATGCATGCTGCTCTGGAGGGCTGCACAAGCATGGCCACTTGGCCAATGTCATCGATCCGATCACCAATAAATGAACTGCACGCAGCAGGCAAATTAATTGACTAGTAGATAGGTCAAGGCAACTGATCGTCACTTTTAGGGGTGTTTGATTTCTCCTCCTAAACTTTAGTCGCTGTTCCATCGAATGTTTAGACATATGTATGGAGTATTAAATATAGACTAATTACGAAACTAATTACACAGCTTGCGACTAATTTGCGAGACGAATTTTTAAGCCTAATTAGGCCATGATTTGACAATGTAGTGCTACAGTAAACATGTGCTAATGACCGATTAATGAGGCTTAATAAATTCGTCTCGTGGAGTAATGACGGATTCTGTAATTTATTTTTTTATTAGTATCCGAATACCCCATGCGACACCCTTACGTGATACCTTCTAAATTTTAGTCACCGAATCCAAACACCCATTTAATCTCTAACTTCAATACAACTCTTCATCAGCCTACGGCGTGGAGAATAGTTTCACAGGTACCAAGAAATTTCAGATAGAGAATTGGAGGATTAATGAAAGTGTTGTGGACTGCGCTGGTATTCATGCATCCATGCATGCTAAGGCTAAGTTTAGTTCCAAAAAAATTTCTCAAAAAGTGCTACAGTAACTATCATATCGAATCTTGCGATACATGCATGGAGCATTAAATGTAGACGGAAAAAAAACTAATTGCACACTTTAGTGGGAAATCGCGAGATGACCGTTTTGAGCCTAATTAGTTCATGATTGAACACTAATTGTCAAATAAAAACGAAAGTGCCACAGTAGTCAAATTCCTAAATTTCACCCAACTAAACAAGGACTAAGGCTGTGTTTAGTTGGAGGAAGTTGGAATTTGAGGCTACTGTAGCACGTTCGTTTTTATTTTGCAAATAGTGTTCAAACATGGATTAATTAGGCTCAAAACGTTCGTCTCGCAATTTCTCACCAAACTGTGCAATTAGTTTTTTTTCCGTCTACATTTAATGCTCCATGCATGAGCCGCAAACATTCAATGTGACAGATACTGTAGCACTTTTTAGGATTTTGGCTTCAAACTAAACACGCGCTAACATTGCTGCCCACTAAAATTAATTGAACTGCACAAGCATGGCCACTTGGCCAATGTCATCGATCCGATCACCAATAAATGAACTGCACGCAGCAGGCAAATTAATTGACTAGATAGGTCAAGTCAACTGATCGTCACTTTTAATCTCTAACTTCAATACAACTCTTCATCAGCCTAGGGCGTGGACAATAGTTTTTCACAGGTACCAAGAAATATCAGATAGAGAATTGGAGGATTAATGAAAGTGTTGTGGACTGCACTGGTATTCATGCATCCATGCATGCAGCTAACATTGCTGCCCACTAAAATCAACCAAGCTCGTGTGCCGTTGATCCATCGAAGAAAAAAAAACGTTTCGTATTCGCTGCGTACGAGTGAATTGCCAAGGTTTGCACATGCACTGAGTCGGTACGTTCGCCACGCCTAATATATAGTCAAAACTGAGAAATCACCTTACGCCTAACAAATGATAAGGGAGTATGAGATAGTAGCTCGCTCATACATGTTATGTCATTGCCACTTCATTATGTGAACCACACATGTAAACGATTTTTATTCTATATCTTCTCTCCTCCCTCTCATTCTTTATAAGCAGGTCCACAAACTACCTCGTTTCCTGAGTGAGATAAGTGTTCAAATAAGAGTGTCGGTGTTTTGTAAACCAACGAGTGAATTTATGTGTGTCGCGCTGCTCTAGGAAGACGATAGTAGCACTTAAAGACACAAGGAAGTTATACTGGTTCAGGTCAGAGCCCTACGTCCAGTCTCAAAGATGGTAGCTAGTTTGTGTTCCTCGGTTTAAATGCTTTGAAGTCTTACAATGAGGGTGTGTAACCTAAGGGATTCGAGGTAGGAGGAGTGAGGAGAACGAAAGCCCGAATGGAGTCTCAAGATTTCGTCCCCCGCTGAAGGGAGGTCTGGCCCTCCTTATATAGAGTTTGGGGCCAGGTTACAGTAGAGAAATGGGTTCTCCCGGCCCGAGTGGTCGAGACCCCGAGGGAAGGAGAAGGTAAACTTGGCCGACACTCCATCTTGTCTTGTCATGGCGTCATTGTACTTTCGGGCATGGCCATCGTCGTGCTCGTCGTGATCTTGCTCCCCACGCCATGGCATGGCATGGCGTAATGCTACCGTGCCGGTGGTACTGTTAGCATGGTGATGGTTCACCAACTGTTTTTTGGTGTGGTCATGCCGTGGCTTTCGTCATTGTTCCCTATTCTCTAGGTGGTATCGTGGCAACAGTGAGAGAGCTGATGGCTTCTCTAGAGTCGTTGGTCGCCTTCCATGTCGTGGCACCGTAGTCCTCGACCCTGTGTCGCCAGGTTGAGGCTCCTGGTGGCCCGGTTAGGCTCGTGAAGTCATAGCTGGGGTCGTGCGACCCATCCCGTAGCAGATGGGGCCGTACGCCCGTCTTATCAGGTTGAATCTGGACAGCGTAGTGCCGCATCAGTCGTCATCATCCTGCGGTGTTGTCTTGTCTACGTGGGGTTGCGCAAGGATGGCGTCTGCCCAGAGATCTCGTGTGTCGAGAGATGGTTGTCCTATCCATCCTGGCGGAGTGAGCCGAGCATTCCTGTCTCTGTTAGGGCAAGTGTACTTGGTGGCATCCGACCTCTCCCCATTCTTTTCTAGGGGTCAAGACGGGGGAGAGGTCGAGTGTAGCTGCGTAGTGTGCATGCGGAAGGAGAACGGAGAGGTCGTGGTGGACCGCATGACTTGGTGTTCGGTCCGGGGCCTATGTGGCTTAAGTGGACTGCAGTTGCTAGGTTCTGGCTAGCTGGGGCATGGCTCGAGCAGCTAATCATTCGGTGCCTTGAGATACCCGGGGTATCTTGACCCCCATAAAGAGATAGTCTATTATTTTTTCCATCTTCTCTATCTTTAACATAAGAAAAGTGCTGACATAGATTCCTATAAGCTCGCTGAAGTGGCACTGTTGGGGATGCCCTTATGCCGCATCCGTTACAAGGTATTTGAGTCAACCGAAAAAATAAAGGCAACATCATATAGTGTGTGGAACTTGATTTCTTTCCTTTTGCAAACCAGATTATTTACAATCAATATTGGTGGGAGTTTTTCACAAAGTTAACATAGCAGGAAAATGCCAATAATACTAATGCATGATACAAAATGTTCTGCAAAAGCTCCAAATTGTATAAAATTACTACACAAAAATTACTTGGATCGAACACGGCATAGAATGTGCGTGTAATTGATCAACACCTCCATCTACCCCACATCCATCAAGCGAGCATGCATGCAACCGAAGATTTTCTTTTATTTTCTTCTCTCTTTTTGTAATATTGATAAATCGATTGTCAAAGGTGATTACTACGTAGACTTTGCACATTTATATGCCAGTAGTATAGCGGAGCTCAGCACTGACGGTTCCAGACATATTTTTATTGGCGTCTGCGCCACCGCTGGTGTGAAGACCAATGGAAATCGTAAATATTACCGGCGGTTACTTAAGGTGCATGGATAAATATTAAATAAATACTGACCGATGCATAGATAACAACAACGATTTTACAAATAATTAGAGAAATTTAGGGGTACGTACGTAGCAAAAAAAGTACTATATCAAAGACATTGTTAGAGAAATCATTATAAATATTTAGGGTACATAAATAAAACACAAGATATAACTAAGACCATAGAAATAAAATTACAGATACGATAACAAAAACCTCAAAATAAAAGTACATATACGATAATAAAGACCTTTCTACATATGTGCCAATGTTATCATCGAAGACTACAAACGCATTATAACACAACCACCTCAAAAACATTCTAGCACCAAGAGTGGGGTCTCAAAGGTGCTAGAGGAGGTGATGGGTGCGAGCAACGATGGATATATCATATATATGTGGAATCATCTGGACTTTCTTCCACACTACAAGAAATGTGTCATCTTTTGATATTTGATATTCGTCATAATACCTAAAAAATAAGTCATAGGTTGCCATTTGTGACACCGAGTTGACAGAAAATGAAATGTCAAAAGATGAGCGTCTTTAATGACAACTTGTGATGTTTAGGTGTTCAGGTCATAACATTATGACATTGATTTTGAATGTCACAAACATTTATGACATTTGATTTGATGTCATAGGTTTGTTGAACCTCGCAACGAAGCAGATGCCACATCGGATGCTTCATTGAGGTGGCACTAAGGTGACTGATTCCATAAAAACACAAAAATTGAATATATGCATATTCAATATCATAACAACCAGCTCACTGAGTTCACAAATCCATGGTAATTAATTACATTCATCCCCAAATCTAGATGAACAACAGTGAACAAGTCACGTTATTCATATATTAAATATACAAATTAATATCTTACATCCTCAAATCGGTTGTAGTTTTCTAAGAGATGACTAAATCATACAAAAAGCTCAAGGTAATCACCAAAATCACATCGACATCATGGCTACAACCTCTCTGTCACGAGCCCATGTCCATATCTAAGGCAGGAAAATACAACTATCTCACAAGCTTCAGAACATACTGGATCATCACTCTTGGACATTGCAATCCACATCCAGCATGCACGAACTGCATAAGAAAAGCAACACATTCAGATATTGGCAAAAAGATCTCGACACTACTACAGAACTAGTTTGTAGCAACGGCACCTTTTCTTGCCAGGGGCGGCTCATTTTGCAGCCGCCCCTACAGTGCCCCCTCCAGGGTCCCAAGAGGCCAGCCGCTCCTACAAATGGCACAGTAGGGGCGGCTCAATCACCAACCGTCCCTACAAATATTTTTGTATTTTTAACATTTTTTAAATATTAGTTCTGCATATTTTTTTATAAATGTAC